GACTTTTTTAAAGCCAAGGTTGACTTTATAGTCCTGTGTTTTGAGGAAGTCAACCGAAGGCTCGTCCAGAGATACGGTCAGGACTGTACCGTTCTCTTCAGCCTTACGGTTGAGTATTTTCCACAGTTCGGAATTTAGGCAGTCATTTTGGGACTTCAGCATTCTGAGTGCCTCATCGACCGACCTTGTCTCCGAACTGGGGATGAAGGCCGTTCCAATGGCTGGTTTGGGCATCGCTCTCTCGTCCAACACAGAGAGTTCTGCGTCGGCCCAGGGTTTTAGGGAGGGCGTTATGCTCTCCAGCCATATTTTGGTCGGCTCATTCTGGCAGGTGATTAGCAGCCAACCAGGTTTGAAACTGCAACCTACAAATCGAGGGCCCTTCCCAGCTTCCGTGATCTTGCCAACTTCCCGGAGAACTGAGGAGCGCACCATGCTCATCATTTCGTCCGTCATTGGGGCCGTGTGTCGGATCCCCACTCGGAACGATTTGAGAGCGTCCTTATAGGTTGCAGTTTCCTCCTTTGCGTTTACGTTCGTCCCTGTAGTCGTTACGCGCTGCTTGGGTGCAGGCGTTCGCAACTGGTGGGCCGTATTCGTAGAGCGCTTAGTTGAGCTACTAGTGACACTTGTTGGTGCAAACACCATTGGGCTTGAAGAGCCACCTGGTGTCGCAAGTGCCTGGTATGTGACTCTAGGTGTCTGAGGTACAGTAGGCGCTGGTGACTTTGCAGTCTCCGCTGCCTGGGTACCTTTCCCGGTGGGCGTCGGCTGCGCCACGCGAGGCGCTTTGTGCGTATGCTCCTTTGGGGACACCTCCTCTGACCGTGGGCGCTTGATGGATCTTACCTCTGAGGGCTGGTCTCGCATTGGCTTCCGGCAGAGTTCTAAGGCTTCATCAGCCTTGATGTTGGCGGCTATTAACAGTTTTAGGCGTTTCCGCGCTGCTCCTGTTAACCTCCTTCGTTTTGGTTTTGGCTTTGAGTCCTTTTTGGGCGTTAGACCTAGGTCATCCGTCCCTGTAGGCTCAACAACCATCTCCAAACAGTTTCCGTCATCGGATGAAAGTTCTTGGCGTTCATTTTCGTCCAAGGTACTTCCTTCAAGCAGTTTCTCAATGTCATCGATGATGTCCATATTGTGAGAATATTTAAAAGTCGTCCACTCGATGTCCCACCCTCCTCGGAGCCCGCAAATGGGGATGCCGCAATGGCACCAGGATCTTCTCGAGTGGATCTAGGAGCAGAAAGGTGGCGTCTTTGCGCGACATCGGGAGTTCGGACAACTGCGGCTAGAGAACTTCCACAGTGCCTTACCCCGTCAGCATGGCCGACTACCTTCTCCGAAGAGACCTTCCCACTCCTCGCCGTGCTCCTGTGACGGTAAAGCACTGGACCATTTCCCGAGCAGTGGCTGGCTGCTCAGGCGACCGTTTCGCCAGAAATATGGGCCAAAGGAGGCGTGTTGTCGCCCGGAAGTAACTGCTCCGACCTCCGATTGACTCAACCTCCCAGGATCCCGTCTTCCCCGCTTACGGCGCTCAACTGCGCAGGCCTTAGCGCAGGTAGGTGCAGGAAGCTATTTAAATTTAATAGTATATAGGTAAATATATATAAGTAGGCTATAATTAATTCTGGTGCTTGCCCAGGCACATTTTATTTATAAATACACTATTGATACAATATATATACATATGTGCTGCAGACTCACCTACTAGGTGCAGCTGATTGAAATAAATATGATAGTTTGAAAGAGAAGACGGATATATTAATATAAATATGACATTACTTGTAAGTTATTTTATAATATACATACATATACTGTATACAAAGACCCTCGCTATTTATCCGGGCTTGGGACCGGCAACTTTGGAGGAGCGGATTTTGTGGTCCTCTCCAGCCGAAAGCAGGCTAGGTTCATTCACATATTACCACCACCACACTTATATTCAAGTGGCCGTCAGTTTGTTTGCCATTTTAGTTGTATAAAAAACATGAAGACTACTAAATATGACATGACCTAACTTATATATCGACAAATTACAGACTAATTAAAAACAAACTTATTGTTTTTTAAATTCATTAGTCGGTTTCCATTACAGTCGATGCACGCGCGCAATATATTGACCTCGACGAGCCGCGAATTGTAATCCGAAACAAGCCGACCCCGACACTATAAAACACACTGGTGTGGTACAAGTCCATGAACGGACTCCTTTATCACGTGATTTACTAACTATTGACCAGTATACACACACACAGTGTAGTCCTGCTACGGTCGCTACAGCAAGAATGTTTAGTTTCCAAGTATTTCTATTCAGTTAAAGAGTTTATGGAAACCTAAAATGATTAACTTAAATTTAGAATCTTATTAATATTATAAAAGCGAAAGTTTGTGTGTCTTTCACGCAAAAACTACTGAACGGATTTTGATGAAACTCAACAGTAATATAGCTTATACAGCAGAATAACACATATAGGCTATAAATTAAGAAGATATTATATAATTTTTTATTGTATTGTAAATACATTTAAATTAACTAAGGATACAAAGATCTTAAAAAATAAGTACCTAGTACAATGGCGGAGTGTAAGGGATGAGGGATTTCTTCCAGTCAACCTTTGAATGACTGAAAGAAACTTACTGAATGTTAATTTAATTATGGTCGAATTTCAACCACTGGGTGGCCACTAGTTTATATTAATCTGCATGTTTGGTCTCTCCCAAGGGTGACGTACAAAGATTGATTTTAGTTCTATTATAATACGCTGGTGCTTGTGTCTTAAAGGTCAGTTTTATCGAAAATCACGTTTTATTTATCTTTTACTGGTAGATGCAGTGCCCAGTAAATATATTACTTAGTTTACAATACCTTTAGGATTTAGAATTTATAAATGAACATACTTATTTTCTCTGGGGTTTTTTATAAGTTTGGTATGTCTGTGGCATCTGAATGATGATTGATGCGATTTTTTTATTGAATATTAAAGTGACCGTGATGGTCTTTAGATATATTTTATGAAGAACTGTTTCAAGCTTATTTATTGTTAATTTTATTTTGTATTGGTGGTAATTTGTAATTTCATTATTAACTGACTTCATAGAATAGCATGTTCTATCACTTCCGATTATTCGATTATTTATCCGCGTGTATCTAATGTGTTAAAGTTGACTATACTTTTTAAAATTATATTTCAAATGTCAGATGAAGACTTGATAGTAATGAACATATTTCATATAAACTTTGAAAGTAATATTTATTTACATTTAATCAACAGCTTAAAAAATATATAAATTAAATAGTTTTAAGCTTCTAGTTTTAAAAATGGTAATAATTCCATACAACATTTCATTTCCCCTTTCAACCCCTTACAAGCCTTATTTCGCATTAAATAGTAGCCTATGTCCTTTCGCAGGGTCTAGACTATCTGTGTACCAAATTTAATTTAATAGTTATAAATATTTTAGTACTTTCGGCTTGAAAGGCGACACCCAGACAGACAGACAGAGTTACTTTCGTATTTTTAATGTTAGGATATAGAGAAGAAATGACCGCAGAGTGCTAATATTATTTTTTTTAATTAGGTGTGCATTAAAAATAAATTAAATATTTTTTACACACACTCAAATAGTCAAACCCAATATGATCAAATTTATAATTTAAATTAATTATGGTCCAATTTCGACCATCGGGCGACCGTTAATATAGAAAAATGTATAGCTACATTATAAATAAATTGCATTTACTAATGTTCTGTGCAGTAATATTTTTCTTTTAAGATATTCTTGCCGGCGCGGCGGACCACGAGCGCTCCACTCAAAACACATTTCTTGGCTCGTTACAAACGCTAAATATGCATCTTCTTTTTTTCTTCTTTGACATTTTCCGTGTAAAAAATATAGCTTTATTACCACTGAAAGCGAGTACCAACTATAAAGGTATATTGTGATTTATCTCTCACAAAATTACGTTGTACTGTGGGCTGTACTGAAAATCAGCATTATGCTGAGTTGTGGTCCACATTGACTCTGTTTTGTAATGTGTGTAAATGTTGGTTGTATTTTTATGTCATTATTATTCTGTCAAGACGAGTCGATAAAATTCTATTCTATTCTATATTCCTTTATTAATAGAAATCTAATAGGAAACATGATTAATAAAAGCTTTATTAAGTATCTGAAACGGTTAAGAACCTGAGACACCTGGATCCTGAGTAGGTATCTGGTTAATATTTCTGGCAAAGTGGACTATTTTATGTGAACCATTGCTGGATCATCTCTGGTGGAGTTGTGCAGCAATGGTTCAAATAGTCCAGCCTGATTTTCTTAATAATATTTTTTGTTTTACTAACATTCGCTATAAGAAACAAACAAAGTGGATAAAATTACTTGATATTAGGACGACGCATCGTAAATATTGACGTTAGAATCTCAATTTTTGTCAGCAATTACAAATCATTAGAGGCTGATATTTAGGTATTTAAATTTCACAACTTTGATTAACTTTTGCAGGAAAAAAATTTCAAAGAAGGGTTTTATAAAGCATAGATTACATAAATAAATCCTGAGAATTAATTAAGGTGTAATGTCATACTAGTGGAATCATAGGTGTGCCCTGTAATTTCACTGCCATACCTCACCCATCAAACTGAAGCGTGTAAAGTAAGCTGGTTGCTGGCAGAAAAAGATGAGACAGAGGTACCAATGCACACTATTGTGTATCTTCATACACAATACACGTGTCAAAATATATTATGAGAATTGATACAATTTACTACTGTTATAGATTTATTAGTCTTAACATTAATATATAATCTCTTATCACTATAGGGGTAGTTTAGTTCTTTTCTCATTACTATCAATGTACCTAACGTTAGGTCGAACTACACGCTACCTATAGAAAGTATAGTGGTTACACACGAATCTTCGAAATAGTGAGGTCGAAGAGATCAGGAGGAAAGAGGAAGGAATCAGGAGACTTCTGCGCTTCTGGGAGGACCTTGCTTGTCACTTTACTAATATTTACTCGTATGTGTACCTTTATGTAGACTCTTCTTTGTCATCTTCTAATTCACTTACCTGTAAAAATAAAAACTTGATGCTTATTAATTTTTCACGCAAAAACTACTAAATGGCTTTTAATGCAACAATACAATAATTTAGCTTATACATCAGAATAACACAGAGGCTATAAAATTGATGCGGGGGACACCGCAGCTACAGCCAGTGCGTTGATAATTTGTAAATCTTAAACGTCTTGGAAAATAAAACACAAAAGACAAACAAATTATTACAGAAAAGTGTATACACACGTAACACAAAGCCACTCCATAAGGCCTTCCGCGAGTTTGCAGTGCCATCTGCACTCGCCCCTATCGCCCGGTGAAGCTGTAAAGGCCAGCTGCTGACAGCATTATAGTAGTCCAAAAAAAACTGCAATGACGGGCGATAGAGGAAACAAAAAATAGGCAAAGACAACTCATGATTCTGCGATTTCCCGCGCTAAATCGCGCAGATGATGAGTGAAAGACATGTGTAAATGGAGCTATTGTGTAATTCGAGTTTACCTGTAAACTAGTTATCTCACTGTCCGTATTTACAAGTAATTCTGATAAATATTGGGTTACATGATCTTCTCTGTCAATCACGTCAGTCTCGACATCCTCATAGGTGCTATTCTTCGTATAGGCATCAGCGATATATTTTATTTCACTCACTCTTGAGGGCAGATGTTGTTCCCTTCTCTTTCTATCTAATTCGTGGTTAGAACTATATTGTCTATTGTTAATCATTACGTATTGTTGGGGAGCTTTTGAAATGGTACATAACTAAAAAATATAATTAATATATAACCGTGTTCAGATCACGAATAAACTTAGTTTGCATTACATTAACGTGAAAGTTTTGTAAATATGTATGGATAGATGGAGGGACGGATGTTTGTTACTCTTTCACGCAAAAGCTACTTAACATAGTATATAAATTTCATGCGGGTCAAATCGCCGGCACATTTAGTTTAATATGAAACCAAAAGACAATCGCCAACTTCAATTTTAAAAAATAGACTACAATGACATCTATTTTTTTTATTTACTAACTGATTTTTTTTATAAAATAACTACAGGCGATGTTATTTGCTGATATAGTTAAGTATATAAAACAAACAAAATAAATACTTTTTTAATTATTTAAAATGATTTTAATGAAACTCTACAATAATATAGCTTATATATCAGAATAACACATAGACAATCAATTTCATGCGGGTGACACTACGGTAAAGCTAGTATTACCGATATATAATATATACATTAAAATCCTTACATCAAATTCTATAATACTTACATCAAAATCCACAGTACCGAAACAAGGCTTGCCGTATGCCTCTCTTGGAAAAGTCATGAGTACTGTCATGATTGTAATCCACTCGTAGATGTTATAATTGCACAATGACAAAACGTCATTACTAATAATATGCTATTGAAAAAAAGTGATTTTTTTATAATAGTATGGGAAAGAATTGTTAGTAATTGTTGTAAAATTATTTTCATTTTTTTAAATAACATTTGTACTTACCATTGAAGAGCTAAAAATCAGCTTCTACTTGTCTAAAATATCGATTGCAAATGGTGATAGACAGTAGTATCTTAAATATTTAATGAAACTTGAAGATCATTGTTTTAAAATTAAAACCACTAACGGCTCGTTCATAATGGTATGATAATAATTAATTATAACAATGCAAAATATTAATGGATTATTTAAAATACGATTGCAGATGCCGATGCCGTTTCGGATACAAGCGATCAACGGGTGAACTATACACGCTTATAATTATATAGTTTTTACTAACATTATAGGTAAGAGTGTATTAGTTCAAATAGTCCTTTAACTGAAGAGGCAACCAATATTTACACTATATTTAACGTAGGCCTTAAAATTAGAAATGAACCATAGTTTGTAAATTATTATGTACTGATACACTGATGGGGGAGCTATTTTTTGCGTAACAAACTCTATATTTATATAAGATTTAAAAAAGTAGACTTTAAAAATCATTTGCGTAGGTACCTCAGTTTTACATATTTCAGCTACTAAGCAGCTTGCTTTTTGTAAGATGAGTTTCGTAGTTAGGTATATAAGCCACCACTTACCATCATGGCAGTCAGCTGTTTGCATACGTTACATAAAAAAAAACAAAATCTGCATATTTTCTTCCTACAGCCCTATTGCATAAAACCTAGTCATATAACTTTCCTGATCCTTTAATGCGAATTCCGTTTCCACAAAATTTTCCATTAATGCATTACTGTTTCCTAAATTGTCTTTGGCAACTGCATCAACGTGCAAAGCCATTAAAAAGAAGTAAAAAACACATTCATTTGAAATTGCATAGAAAAGAGGAGAGATTACAATAGTTAACTATGCCAGTAATTTACATTTATAAATGAAAAAACGATGTACACATACCTTTATGGAGTATTGATGTCTGTAGGTATCAAATTTTAGCTTAATATACGTATCTATATCTGATACTGATTTGTTCTTAATTTACAAAACTACTGAACATACTACGAACGTAGTGATTATTTGCTCAGTGCGTAAAATATACATAAGTAGCTATTGACTTTTAAATATGCAAAATAAATACAATATGCTTTTTTTTTTGTTTCGTTCAATAATTTACTTTTAAGATGCAGCAGGCCGTTATAATGGACTGTACCAGAGAACAAAAATCAACGCTGTATTGTGTGCAGCCATAGTTCTTTTTTCGTAGTTTGGGCGCCATATTTTCTTTCTTTATTACTTAAAATTTATAGTCGACTGTGGAAACGGGAGTAAGTACATTCGTTATTTTTTTCTTTTTAACTTACCTTTTGAGAGTCAATTTCTTTTATATAAATCTACAATCATACAACGTAAAATATACTATGAAGTGCATTGATCAAATAATTACTACTTTTTTAGTGTCATTATTATTTAAGCCACTGATTCTATTTTACGTTTTTTGCATAGTTAATATTTTCGATAAAGGAAATTACTGTAGGTAATTATGATTATTTTAATAATATGATAAATTTTTAGAACCAATATAATGACATTGGAATAAACGTGTTGAATTCCTTAAACTGTCTAATTCATTTATATTTCATTACAGACTCATTGGAGTCTATTGGACGTGTCAAAAATAGTAAAAAGGATAAAATGTATAGACTAGAAAACATTCATCTAATATGTTGACTACACACAGATGCGTTGAGAAAATTATCGTAATAATAATTTACCAAGATATTAATTTATCAAAATAGACTTTGTAATTTACCAATATAATAATTTACCAATATAATAATTTACCAAGGTAGACTTTGTAAAAAGTTTATTGTGCCAGTATGTCACATCAGCCTAACCATAGATAAGATAATATTACATCGTTTAACCTGATTCCGTAGGGGGAATCGGGATTGTTAGTAATGTGGACTGATGACTTCAATACCAACAATGTACCATGTCAGGTTGACCTCTACACAGTTCCCCCTGGAAAACAAATATTTGAAATCCAAATTCCTGGTGAATTTGCCACGATGTGCTAACTGATCTGACCTCATGTTCATTTTATCATCCTCTACTGGTGTCCTTCCAGGGTAAACCGTTAGCGCAGGCGGATGCACCATTTCATAATCATCCATTAAAAAAAAATCGACAATAAAAAACAATTCAGTCGCCAAACAGCTTGCTTTGTAAACTGTGCTTTGGCTGAAGGGCAAGGCAATGAAATTATAGGATAAAGAGGTATGACATATTGATTCTCCTGAATAGCAACGCATGAATGGCATCACGGACATCACATAATAACGTGATGTCCTAATTGTGCTGGTCATGTTTATAGGTGACGGAAAGAAGTTACTGGTTCCTTCTTGAATATTATTTCTTATTGTTAAGAAACTTAACTATTTTTAAACTTAATTGTTTTCTAGTTATTTAATATTATTTTTAATTTCATTTGCTTCTTTGGGAAAATTGTTACTTTCATTAATACTATTACTGATATTTTGTCTATATCGCTAATTAATTATAATTGAAAATCACTAGTAAAAATGAGCTGTTCTATCCTTCTGTATGTAGTTAGCATAACATAGTATGATGGCGGCGTCCTATCACGCAACCTTAAAAAAAACCTTATGTCAAATGGTATAACACCAGCAAACAAAACAGCTCCGTCCCAATAATCTACACAACACACTTATTAAAAGGACATTAAGTTCTAAATCCAATGGCATTTATTATATCGGCCGCAATACAACTGATATGTCCGTAAGGTCGATTTTGCGCGCGATCCGAATGATAATGTATGGGATTCAATTGTCTATAAAAGCGATGCGTAGGCGCAGGACATCAGCGAAAGTGGACGAAAATGAAGGTGATTACACGTTTTTTGTGTTTGATTTGTGTTGTGTAGTGATTTGTGTCTATGTTTCATAATCATTGAATATTTTCTAAGAGAAATCATAACATTTTTTTTATTTTTTTTAAAATAAGTACCAAAAATAATTGCGATTGTAGAATTTTTAAATGGATGATAATGGAATTGTGCACCCGCCTATGCTAACGGTATACTCTGGCGGGGCATCAGTGGAAGATGATAGTCAGCCCATCGTGGCAAATTCACCAGGAATTTATCACAATGATTTCCAGGGGAACCGCGTGGAGGTCGACCTGATATTGCTAGCAATGGGGTTATTAGTCCACATTACTAACAATACCTTTCTCCCTGTTCTGTAGCATTGTGAATACAGTTTATCACCAATTCTTCATCCCCAGGAAGGGACAAGTGCTGGACAGGAAATCTCAAAATAAAAATCCACCTTGTCAGTTTAACACAATAGTAGTCTAAATCCACTTCTATATAAGGGAGTTCCAGCCCAGAATTGGGATGGAGTAATGTGGTGGCGTGTGGAAGTGCATTATTAGTATTGGAGAATAGTGGTTCTATTACTAAGGTCGACCTCCGCGGTCCTGCCTTGGAAATGGCATACTATAAAAATCCAGTGTCAATTCCTTGTAAATTAACGGATCTTCGATATGTGTAATCAGCATATTTTTTTTAAATGGAATGGTAAACTCGTCTGCGCTATAGTAAAATATAGGCTGGCGGGACACTAGTGAAAGATGATAGTATGAAAATGAAGGCAGTTCAATATATAACGTATCTGTCGTAGAAAATTCATCCAGGTTTATCTACAATAGTTTCCAGGGTAGTCCGCGTGGAGATCGACCACACATTACTGGCAATGCAACTACTAGTCCCCATTACTACCAATCCCCTCCCAGACAGCTATATTGTTTTTGTAATGGATGATAATGGACATGTTCACACTTCGAAGGAAGGAGATTATCAGTAGTGTGGACTAGGATCCCATTGCTAGCAATGTGCTATGTTAGGTCTACTTCCATGCGGTTTCCCCTGTATACCAAGTGATTTCATCACAATACGCTAACTGATCTGACCTCAATCTCATCTTATCATCCTCCACTGGTACCCCTCCCCCTCTACCCCGCAGGCAGGGGCACCATTCCACTGTTACTCTCTTCACTCTCTCTTAAATATCTGTTAAAGAAAATGTTATACACGGTAGACCATTGGAATATGATAAGATGGGCATGAAGTCAGGTCAATTAGCCCATTGTGACAATTCATTAGAAATTGACCACGGTAGTTTCCACGGTGACCGCGTGGAGGTCGACCTAACATGGTACATTGCTAGCAATATGGCCATAGGGTGAAACGGAATCGTTAATAATGTGATCCTATTCTTAGCAACGTACCGTGTCAAGTTGACCTCTTTAGTTTCCCCTGGAAACCATCGTGCTAAATCACAAGTAATTTAACCATGACATTCTAACTGACCTAACCTCATGTTCATCCTGATATACTCCACTGGTTCCCTGTCAGCGTATACCGTTAGCGCAGGCGGGTGCACCATTTCATTATCATCTATTTAAAAACAAAATGACTTTAACCATGTTTAAAAATGTTATATTTCTATCCAGAAGCTGCTGACTGTGATATTTCTGGCACTGAGTGGTGTATTGGCTGAAGCGCCAGCACCTTATCCTCCCAGTGGATTCAGACCTGCAGGACCTGCTTTTGAGTTACCCCAGAAGCAGACTCAGGTTTGTTATAACTATTTATCATTTTGTATTTAGTATTTTTTTTCCGACGGTCGACAACCTCGGTGGTCTAGCGGTTTAGCACACTGTTTTATTTTAGATGGTCGCGGGTTCGATTCCTCGCGCGGTACAAACATTTGTATTCATGGGTATAATTGTTTGTATCGGTCTGTGTGTTTCCTATGTATATTATAAAAAAAAAATATCGAAGTTATTATACATACAGTTGTCTCGTACCTACCCATAACACAAGCTTTGCTTAGATTGCCTAACAACGTATGCCAGGCTATCTAGTTTTTTTTTAATTTGAATGGCAATTTATTATACATATATATATACATACACATATTAATATACATATATTTATAAAATTAATATAATTAAATTACAATATACTTATATAATTCCAAGTTTATTTTTTCAAAAAAAAATCATGTAAGGTTATTTGTTTGTTCACAGAATGTTCCACAACAACAATATCTACCAGTAGATCCTAGAAGACCGTTAAATCCTAACAATGAGTATGGACCACCTGAAGAAGAAGACGTGTCAGTTCAAGGTTTACCAACGCAGGAGCAGCTACCTATCTTCCAGGGTTCACCAATTAATGGACAGCAATATGTGGGACCAGCCCTGCAAACAGACTTGAGGAATTTGGATGAAAGTTTTCAACAAAGTCAGGTAATTTGTTATTATGAAAACCAATATTACAGAGGAAAATATTTAAAGGTTTTTTGAGTAATGGGAAATCTCAATAATATTGTAGAAGAATATAGAGATATAGAGGTGACTTAGGCGTCTATAGGCTACGGTAACAGTTTACCAAGGGTAACCATTTATCATAGATGGGCCGTATGCTTGTTTGCCACCAACGCAGTATAAAAAAAAGTTAGATAAATTCTCTATATACTAATTACAAAAACATACAGAAAAAACGAATTGTACACCAAATTATATTTGCCCTATTTCAACTCGCCTCATCCAGTTCCAAACTAAGCAGAGCTTGTGTTATGGGTACTAAAAAGTAATAGAAATATTTTTTCTTTTTTTAAAATACATAGGAAACAATAAGACTAACAAAAAATTCTACTCATGAATAAAAATGTTTGAATCGTGCGAGGTACGAATCCACGATCATCGGAAGTTAGGCGGTGTGCCAAACCATTATAGTATACTACAGATGCTGTAAACTCAATAAATTTTATAAATCTTATAAAAAGTTGTCTGCGTGGGTATCTCAGTCTCACCTATTTCACCCGCTAAGCACCTAGCATTGAAAGATGTGTTTCGGTTGTAGGGTGCAGATTAGGCAGTGAAATTATAGCAACGAATCAGTGGTATTACGGGTTCAACTGTTCATGTATGTATAGGACACGGCATACATGAACAGCACTAGACGGTTACCGCTTACCATCAGATGCAAGGTTACTGTTAATCAACCTGTTTGCCAATCCCATTATATAAAAGAAAGAATAATGTGTGGTATTTAATTAGGAAGACAATTGAAGATTAAAAAAAAAGATATACATAACTCCACTGTTGCAATTGTCAAGTTAGTGTTGGATACCAGATATATACTTGACTGACTGACTTGAATTTTCTTCTTTCAACTCAACTCAGATTCCAATACATCCTGGTCTAATATACTATAATCTAATTTACCTTCTAGAATATTTTTGAGTTAATAACTAACGTTTGTCTTCATAATACATATAAATTTTAATTTAATTCGTTCAGTCATTTAGTCGTGGAAAAGTGATGATCAAACATACAGACACGCTCCCGCATTTAAAGTGTTAGTACGCATTCTAGTACTTCAAAATTTCAATTTATTCAGTTTTTGTATTCAATTCAAGTATTAAAATATTGCTATAAAAAGTTTTTTGACATTATGTATTTTTTAACAGTACCAACAGCAACAAGAGAGATACAGAGAGTATGCCAGACAAAAGGACTTGGAAGCTGCACGAGCAAGAAATAACGCTAATCCAACTCCAGCTGTACCCCGGCAATTCGTACCACGTACCACAATTAGCCCAGATAATACATTAACAACAACTGAGGTTCCCACAACAACCGAAACCCTAGACCTAAATGAAGGCGAAACTCTAGAAGACGCAAATTCACCAAAAAAGGCAAATTCATCAGTGGAAATTTCAAAACAAAGAATACAAGAGTATCCTGGTGAATTTTACCTTAGTTCGTTAGCACAATTGAAACTTCAGCCTCAGTTTGTTCCTGTTCAACAATTTGGACAATTACGAGCACCCTTGTATGTTCAACCAACCCAAGATGTTTCTCAACGACAAGTATTAGCAGGTTACGATGCTCAAACTCATTTCGCAGCATTACCATCAGTTTTAGCTCAAAGACAACTTCTTCAACCCCAAGGAGTTGTTCAGAATCAACAGCCATTCCAAAATCCTGGTTTGTTGATTGCACAACAGCCATCTACAGGTTTTGGTCCAAGCCCAGTACAGCCATTAAATCAATATCAGCCCGTGGTACAGCAAGTACAACCGTTTCCACAAATTCAAGCGCAGCCAGCATTTGTTCAGTCGCAACCAGTAAATCCAAATATCTACGGACAACCAAATCCTGACACTGAAGAAGTAGAGATACAATCGTATCAGCCACAAGTTTTTCAACAACCAAATTACCAACCTCAAGAACAACAAAATCTTTTATTGTCGCAAGCTCAATTGAGTTTTCCGACTCAGGACCAGGATAATATAAATCAGCCTCAGTTTGTGGGTCAATTCCCTCAACAACAAAGCCAGTTTCCTCAACAACAAGGCCAGTTTCCACAACAGCCAGCCCAGTTTCCTCAACAACAAGGCCAGTTTCCCCAACAACAGCCAGCCCAGTTCCCTCAACAAGGTTACCAGGGCCAGGATGCGTTTCTTCAAAGTGGCTTGGACGTGAACCAGCAAGGTAATGGGGTTGAAGATAGAGATGAATCAGACAATCAGGATGATTCGGTTACGTCTGTCGCCACCGCCTTTGGCACAAGGTTAGTAGATTTCATATAGAATTTAAATGAAGTACCATGATTTTAAGTCACGTATATATGTTAATAGTGTGTAACAAAGCCCTGTATTAACATATCGGCACCATAATATGATGTTGAATTGCGATCTTATTGATATGCATGTTAGAGTGTTAGTTCATGTTGTCGTGGTCAGGAATATAATGTCTACAACATTGCAGAGTTTCATAGGGAAAAACACAAGTTTTTTCCCAATACCTTGGGATTGGTTATTTTTTTTTATATTAATAACTCTGGATAATTCACACAGCGCTCTAGCGTCTACTCCCAAGTTAAGCAGAGTTTGTATAATGAATACTAGACAACTAATAGATGTACATATGTATTAGTTTCTAAATTATACATAATATGCAAATTTATGATACAAATACTAATCATACTTATGTTTGTACCGTGCTAGAATTCGAACCCGTGACCATCTATAGTAAGGTGTGCTAAACCGTTACGATGTTTTCTTTTTTTTTTATCTCAAGTTTAATTATAATTAATACTATTATAGAACCCAACCTCGTGTGTACAATCGGTACGGAGCGCCAGTCCCTGTACCACGAGCGCAAATAGATCCAGAATATCAAACAACCACGGAATCTGCTGATGAGGTAAAACTCGTAACTTTTACTTTATAAACTATATATAAAGTAAAAGTTAAAATAGGCTTAAATTTAAAGAATGTTTCAATACTCTTTAGTAGTTGAAATAGGTAAGAGATTTTATCATCCAAACTAGAAACCCCAATCAAAGATGATGAAGATGCTCATAGCCTTCATTGATAAATGGATTATCCAAATTTTTTTTTCAATAGCTTGTGGTTTTACCTACGTGAAATTTATAGCCTATGTAATATTCTGATGTATAAGCTATATTACTGTAAAGTTTCATCAAAATCAGTTTAGTAGTTTTCCGTGAAAGAGTAACAAACAAACAACAAATCCATCCATACCAAGAATAGCGTTATTGATAAATGGATTACTCAATTTTCTTATATTTCAAAGCAGTCGTTTCTGTGATCATCCTCGTTCAATCAAACGAACAAACACATAGATACAAGTCCATTGGCTCCTGGCTTTATGTGATTAGTATCATTGTAATTTCATTGACAGGTGAACTGAAGCTTGACTGTGAAATGCGTGGAAACAAACGTAATTTGAATTCATTTTTTAACATTTGCAGGCAAATACTGGAAGTCCAGTTGTAGCGGAAGCGACTGCAGTAGCCAACGGCAGGAGGAAAAATGCCAAATTGAGGTAATTTTTTTAATGTAGAATACGCTAACAGTAAGCTAACAGGCGGGGCAACAGTGAAGAATAATAGGCTGAGCATGGGGTCACGTCATAGTGACAAATTTGCCAGCAATTTACCACGATAGTTTCCAAGTGGAACCGCATAGAGGTCAACCTGATATGGTACGTTCTTAGCAATGTCTCATCTGATACAAAAGCGTATTTGTATCAGTAGTAGTTATGTCTAGTATACATACATAAGTTCTGCTTAGCTCTGCTTTATTCAGAGTTATCATTATTTGTTCCCAGAAGCCGTCGGGTACGTCCGATTTTCACTTTGGACAGATCCGGACATTTGGTGCTGGCGCCCGAACAAAACCAGGCGCAATAATTAGTTAAATATCAACTGTATGACATAGTCACTTAATTACAAACTTACAAACAGAAATCAACCACAAATCCGTAAAAATCCTTTAAGTCGAATCCTATTTATTCAAATTTATATCACTATTTTTGTTCTGATTTTTAATATTTTAGTCTACCTTTATATTGTTTTGTAAGTCTATATAATATATAAGCCAGTCATACGCGTGCTCATGTGATAATTCTTGTACTTTGTCACAATAAACACTCTATTTATGTAATATAAATAATGTTTTGAAGGCCTATAATATCATAATGACAAAGTAATAAAGTGTTTACATATTAAAGTGCGTGTCTGCATAAAGAAAAGTACCAACCTCACAGTTTCCTATTACAATAGGCATAGACAAGTCAGTTCCAAAATAATAATAAATGATTATTTATTAACAAATATCTTGTTTAAATAAATCCCAAACTTTGAATAGAGGATGATATTATAATATTGTCAACAGTAGTTGAATTTGATCATATTTGAGCAAACTTTTAAGTATAAACGTTATTAAGGTTTATAACGTAAAGCCTTAAAGGCACGGCGGTTTGTCAAATTGTGGACAATTTCATTAATATATTTATTTCATAACAAGAAAATCTGTAATTACAGGAATCTAATACACTACCAGGGTTTAACTAGAAATACAATAACACCATAAATACATAACATTAGAACGAAGAAAGTCGGCACACTACTAATAACTAACCAATTTTCCCGAACAAAGTTTACAGGACCCGCAAACATAATTTTCACAGGCTGGAATCTAGAAATTCTACTGGACTCCACTCTAGCAACTTCTGTGGACATTGTTATAGTTTCGTCTTTACTCGAATCAACAGCAGGGCTTTCTTTTATTAACGGTTTAAAAACTTCTATAAAATCTTTTAGAAGCTCAGGCTTCCTAATTTTATTAATCGTTTTACTTGTGATTTCAATCAAATGTGTAGATTTCTTACTTTCAGTACTGAGTTTTAGCATAATATTATCAATAACACGATTATTTACTAAATCACACTGTAACGAATCATCGATTGTTATAATATTGTTCTTATTAGTAAATTCTTTTGCGGTTTCGCTTTTCTCTATTTCCACACGCATTTTATCAGTTTCTGTATTTACATTAGGTATGGGACGTGATAGGTTTTCAATCCAAGGCATCTTTCTTATTAATTCCTTAATAGTTTTTTCTGCCAATGTATTCTCTAATCTTTTCACTGTTAAATCCAAAATTATCACAAGTCTATCCCATAGTTCATGTATGTTTGTTGGATAGTTCAATATTAATTCGTCACAATATATATTGTTTTGTATTTGGTGATCAGGCTTTATTTCATTTGTGTCAGTTTTATTTGTTAAGTTAATTTTCTTTTGAATTTCAGTTATCTTTAGCCCATTGTTCGATATTTCCATATTTGTATGATTGGGTTGATCACCTTTATTTTTTAAACTTAACAAAGATAGATTATTTTGTGATCCAGTTTTAATAACATTATTCACATCTTCAGTACGGTTAAATGCGGAACTAGTTGAAGGATTAATATCTGGAAACAAACTCATATTTATAACTGTATCCAATAAAGTTGGCCTATTGGACAATTTCTTTACAGCTTTATTGATAAAGGGAGAAGGCATGCCGTGAAAGTTGTCTAAATTAACGATATTTTTAGAATTTGATGTTAGAGTGTCTGAATTAAAATTTGAGCTTGTTTTTTCTATAACATAGGTATCATCATCCCTTAAGTTTGTTTTTGAACTGCTTTTAATGCCAATTAACGTTTTATCACTTATTTGATGTACATTAATATTAGTAATGGTTAAGTAACTTTCATTTGAATATTGTGATAACATGCTGTGAGTTGAGATCAAAGCGTTGCTGGGATGTACAGTAGTAGGTGAACTAGTTAAATTTTCTTGAATTAATAATGTCTCCTTTACGTCAGTTGGTTGATCTTTTGACTGTGTATTATAAGTGACGGCAACACTAACATTTAGCACATCCGTTTTATAAGGAGTACCATCAACTGATGTTAGTCTAATAACTGAATTCACAACCTCAAGATTACCAGTATCATTTACACATGTGTCTGTGTTTAATGTTTCAATCAAAGTATTCTGACTTGAATAATTAAAAAAAGATTTTCTAGTACTTGAAGGCGATGAAGTTAAAGATACAGAGTCATTCTCAATCAAATTTATTTCGTCCACTAACAAGGCACGTTCTGAATATAGTAAGTTTTCTTTTTCTATTCCATTTTTTAAGAGCCTTGATTTTGAAACAATATTTGTCATGGAGTTAGAGTAGAGATGTTTCTTAATTTGGAAATTTTTCTTAGGTTTGCAATAATAATTTACAAGGTTTTTTGTTATGTTGTATCGAGGTTTTTTATATTTAAAGTATTTTTTTTTAATTTCAAAAGAAAGTTTATATTTATTTGGTACTTTTTTTGAAATGTTGCACTCATTTCTAGTAATATTCTTATTCCTCCTATGAAATTTACTTGAAGTGAAAATAAGTTCTGGTAGTTTTTTATAATTCGTCCCCATATTGTCTTCTATTGGAATAGAGTATACTTTTTCAAGGTTTTCTGTATCGCCACAATGATTTTCTTCTATGAATATTTCTGTTTCCGGCGTACTTTCTTCTGTATTCGAAAGAGAATTCATATTATCATTACTCTCCAGTGTCTGTAAAGACAATGTTGGTGCTATAGAATTAAATGGTGCTATAAAACTAGCTTGAAGGCTTCTTTTATTACATATCTTTTGTTGTGCTGTGGGTATGTCATCATATGTCTCTTGATATGCAAGGGCTACTATATAAGTCGGTATTATGTTAGGATAACGTGCCGTTGACATCTGCACAACTTTGTTTTTCGATTCAATTTCCTTACCTTGCAATATGTCTTCTATCGGCATTGTTATGTTAAATCTAGAAATCGAAAACAGAATAACAACAGATTGGTAGGGTAGGATTTCTTCTAAATACTATAATAGAATATATATTAAACTACTTTTCTACATGTAGATTATAAAAAAATATAAAAAAATATTTCATTATTTATTATTAAGTAGCGATTTGTCCTTTTACTACACAGAACTATATAATCATAAAGTATTTTAATCAAATAATTAGGATAATTTAAGAAATAGATAGAATATACAATATTATTAAAATATATTTATTTTAGAATTTTATTTATATAAAAATATATATACATAAAGACATTAAAATCCTAAATCCGACACCTTCAAGTATAATCTAGATGAATTTTTAATTGGAATCAACCTGTTAGTTTTATTTAACTTTAAAGGTACTGTGAAACTGGGTTTTAGTATATTTTGTATTATATATACGTAGAGGAAATAGCCAATTACAATCATTGGAATCCACAGCAAAATACAGTATAAGAATGCCTCGCAGAATCTAAACTTTAAACTTTTCCAGTTTCGAATTGAAGACTTAGGCTTTTTGGCATTAGAGGATTTTGTCGAGCAGTATGGATTGCATTCCTCAAAATCTATAGGAATTACAACTGCGCGATTACTTTCTTGCGTAGGTTTTAAAAAACTCGTATGGCCATTTAAATGTTTACTGTTCCCTGATTGTGAAGATTTATTCTGAAAGAAGTTTCCTCTTGAAGTCGGTGGTATTTCTTTTTCATAATCATTACGGCTATTACGAATGTATTCATTCTTTTTATAACATCGATTGCAGAAAAATGCTTGTTGTGGTTTTTTACGGATTGAACTGGTTATATCGAGAAGAGATTTAGATTTTGGCAGAGAACACTGTAATATTTGATTTTCCTTTCCTGTTTTAAAATCTATGATAGCAGAAGTCATATCAGTTACTTTTAATATAGATTCACTATCTATAATGTGATAAGAAGTGCTTCGTTTTGCTAATCTGCTAGTGAACTCTACAGTTTTTTTAGGTTCTTTTGATAATTTTAAACCAGAAAGCTGTGATTTTCTTATACTTTTTGATTTTTTAATTTCCTTTGACTGCGTTTTCTCATTTGAAGATATATGTTTTATATTATTTGTTATTTTATTATTTGTCATTATGTCAGACGTTAAAGGTAATTTCTGACTATTTTGCTTCTTTAAATGATCAATGACTAATTTTTCAGTTGTAGCCACCAAATTTTTTACGACTTCTTTGAGTTCAATTATTTCTCGAGATGTGACTAAATCATTGGTTGTAGTACTACGGTCTAAAAAATTGCAATCATTTTTAATTCCATATAGAGATTTAGTTCTTGAGTTGTTACTTGGAAATATATATTTAGATTGACTCATAGATCCATCGAGAATAGGAATAATATTTGCATATCGTTCAAAAGAAATAGAAATATTTTCTTTGCTTGAATTGTGTTTTTCTAAAGATGTATTGTATAGCATGGTTTCGATATCAGAGATTTTATTTAAACTAATTTTATTTGCATTATCTCCATCATGAGTATTAATATCAGTCGCTGGTTCATTTTCACATACAGGAAAAACATTGATATGTATGTCTAATTTTATATTCTTGTCATTATTAATCTTGGAAAAATATTTAAATATATTATCTAACTCTCCTATTAAATTCTTCTTTTTTGTTAAATCATTATCGGATTTTTTAATGTTTGTATATTGACTAATATTATAAAGTTTACGTAGTAGTTTTTTTCGTTTATATATTCTTCGTTTCTTTTTCAATAGATGATTATTTTTTATATGCTGACAATCTTTAATAGTTCTTTTGTAAATTTGATTATGTCTACGTATGTTAGTTTTTGGCAACTCTACACTTTGTTTTATGGAATCCATAGTCATGGGATCCCTTTGTTTATTTGGAATTTTCATTGTACTAACATTTCTTTTAGTACAAGTAATATCAGTTTCGTAAAACTGTATATTTGACATGCACTTGTTTAATTTAGTTTGTGATACTCTGTAGGATAATTTTGCATCAGTCATAGTATAATTATTATGTTTGTTTTTATAGTTATTATTAGTAATTTTCATGAGATTATGAGCATAAATACTTCTAATAAGGTTTGGCGTAACATCTAAATATCCAATATCCTGTATTTTATATTTATTCAAACTATTTTTATGTACTTCTGTTAGTATGGTCGAATCTGATGCATCGCTTTTATGGACTAGCTTCGGAAAAAATACTATTTGTCCTTTTTTGTTAAATTTACTTTCATTATTTTCTTTACTAAATGTACCGCATTGAAGATTTGGTTTTGAAGATGCTGTTAGTAAATTAAAACTAGATGCAGTAACAAACAATTTATGCATTTTATTTTTAGATGTTTTAAGGATTATTGATTGATGATTGTGACTATTTTTTTTTATTTTACATTTGCTTTTATTCGTTTTAGTGAAGTTAGTTTTCCGCACAGTAAAATTTCTAGGAATGCTTAATGTTGAAATTATATTGACGTGTTTATAAGGAAACGGAATTGTGTTGTAAGATTTTTTTATGCTAGCTTCTGTTTGAGATGAACCACTGAATATAGAGATTGTGTCTTTCTGTTTGTAATATGGATTGGCAATAGCGGAGCACTTTTTATTATTGGATATGTTTTTGTCGTTGTCCATAACATACGTCATACAAGACGAAAGCCTCTTTGTTCTCTTTTTTTCGAGTTTCTGTAATATACAGTTTAAAATATTATCAAATTTCTGTTTCATTTCTTTATCTTCTAATAGATGAGACTTGATCCAATTATTTAAAAGAACTTTAAGGTTCCTCATCATAAGTGAAGTAATATTGATGTTAGTTAAGTTGGGCATCATTACCACGGAGGCTTTTTTACTGTTGTCACCACTTGCGCTAACATCTGGTTCGAATTCTTCAATTGTACCAAACTCTGTATCAACTGCTGAATATTTCGATTTCACCGATAAAGATTTGTGACTTGATTTATACCTTTTACTTCTATAGTATCTCCTTAAAATACAAATATCTGTTTCCAAACTTAAATCTCTTTTAAGTTTGTCATTATGAATATAATATTCTTTAGCTTGAAATAGGTTTTGCTTTATTTGCAGAATAGCACTTTTAGCATAAAGTTGTGATACACCAGAGCATGTCCTAGAATGTGTAAATAGAGTGGTATTGGATTTCTTAAATAGTAGTAATGTATCTTCTCTTTTACACTTATTACTGTTTCCTTTGCCCATATTTTGGATGTTTCTGGTAAGTAAATTTCTTAGTGTTTGTTGTCTTCTGTAAGCAAAAATATTAGTATTCTTCATCTTTTATATTTTTCAAGTCCATTTTGAATTCTATCATTTTCCAGACGTTTAATTAAAAAAAAAATTTAGCATTGGTTGAGACTGTATGTGTTTCAAATGATGATGTTTCATTCATTCATACATCTGATATGAGATTATAGTTGTATTTATTTGTGTTATATATATAGATATTAATGCATATGACATGCAATTTTATTATTATCTGCATTATTTATATAATATTCATATACGGTTACATCATATAAAATATTATTTAGAAACAAAAATATCGATAGTTAGAGGAATTCATTCCATTTCAGTTCCTTGCTATATAATTCTTACCTGATACATATAGTGCTAAGTTTAAAAATAGATAATACTGTGGCATATATTTATAGTCATTATTATTTTTATGTCTTTCCTATAAAACCGTAGCATGTTTAAATTGTAGTACTTAGCAAACATTGTGTATAATAATATCTTATATAGCTAAAATGAATATTTCTTTCATCAATGTAACATATTCTCCTTTCGTCCTTTTATATATATACATACAAGTATCGAGTGCTGGTTCTTTTATCCATACACTCTCATTCATTGCTTCATCCACTTCAAAACTGTCTGATGTTCACTTGCATCCTTCTATTTCAAATTGTTTTCAACGTTCTTTCGTCCAACATTCTTTCTATATAATTAAAAGTGTTGACATGTTTAATTACTTACAATAATGATAATGGCTCAATAATTTTACATAACTGTATCACGATAGATTTTCTTAATTTAATCGGTTTAAAAATTATATTTCACATCAGGTGACTTTAAGAAAGAAAATTTTGTGACTGTCGATTTGACATATTTCTTCTATTGATTGGTAGAAATGAAATCAAGGAAACAGTTCCTAAAAGATTTTTTCTACTTTTGACCCCGGCGATTTGTGTAATACAAGCAAATTTAGCATATTTGCGTAGAATTCGTTCTGCTTGCATTATAAGTCCTTGCGAAAAAAAAGGTTTATGCACTTTTGATCGATATCAAGTACTCTCGAATGCAAGCAGAACGGCACCTAATTTACTGTATTGATCGTTTGCATTATTTCGCCAAGTTACTTTACTAGATGTATACTTTGTACAAACTTCTATGAGTATCTTTGTCGCAATTATTTCATAGCAATCAGTTTCTATGTAAGCTGTGTTTCCGTTGGTGAGAGAAGGCTGTGTAGCGCGATGGTTATCACGTCACCACTGTAGCCTTACATAAGATGTGATAAGGTATTGTAACATAATTTATTATACTATGTAGGTAGTGAGTATACAGGGTGGAATTATTGTATTACTAACAAGTTTATTTGATAATGTGCTACATAGCTTATTAGTAACGTGTACATATAACGTGGAGTCGGAACATGGACTGACTTTACACTAACTTGCACTAACTTAAGTCTATGTTATGTAGAGACGTAAACTAATGGAAGGGCGCCGAGTGTTGACAGAAATATTACAAGTGTAGGCAATAGGTATATCAGTTAAATTAGAGTACGGAGGCATACCATTTGTTATGCCTCCGTACTTGCGAATACTTACGAATGCTAGAGGGCAGTGAGTTCCACAACCTAACGGCCTGGACAGAAAAGGATTTAGAATAGAAGGAAGTGGAATGAGAGGGAAATCTTAGACGGAGATAGTTAACATTACGCGAGGAGTGGCTGTTGTTCTCACTGAGAAATGTGAAACAGTCTTTTAGGTAATAAGGAGTAACTTGGTTAAAAAGAATGCTGTGAAGGAGTGATAGGATGTGTAAGTTGCGACGAAGACGGATAGGGAGCCACTTGAGTTGAGTACGATACTGGAATGGCAACGCAGGGTATTATGGGTGAAACATGATGATACGATGTCTATGGTGTTTTTCGTGTACAAAGGCGACGCGACGCTTGCCATTTATTATCGGGCGGGCTGTTAGCTAGCTTGCCATTCCACTACATTTAATTCAGCGATAATTATTGCCTAATTATGAGTAATTAATTATACCGCAACAAGCGGGTATATTGTAATTTGATCTTCACAATATAGTTATATCATGTTTACAACGCAGTATTCAATTTCGCAAATTACTCGCAGAGTAATATTGTCCGGGAAACTATAGCTACCTACCTGTTTACGTAGTATAAAACAAAGTCAACGGATTTGAATGCAGTTTTCAGCGATTGATAGACAGATTCAAGAGGAAGGTTTATATGTATAATACATGCGTGTTATAGTATAGAACAAGTCGGGATTTTCAGAGATTTCTAATTCTAAAATAGTTTTTTTTTTCTTTCTTGTTTTGAGGAAAGTGTACTAGGATATCACTGTACTCATTTGAGAAATTCTTACATATTTTTTCTTATTTATTATTATTAATGTTTCCTAGTAGTAAATTTAGATGAGGGTTAATGTTAATCATGAAAGAATTTGGTTCAGTAGTTTTAAGTTTATTCGTTACAAACATACAAACATCTTTTCTCAAATATTATTAGGAATAGTAATATATAACTTTAGGATAGTAATTTTTGTCTGTCGAATATCTATTGCCTGATGGTCCTAAATAATAAATTTAACAAAATTAATACGGCTTTCTGGTAATAGAGACTAAAAGATTTGAAATATTTATAAAAGTTTCTGAAAATTTACTATTTTATGAAGACGAAGACCGGAGGGGGGGGGGGGGGTAAGTATCAAATGCTCTTAATGGAAACAGTATAAAAGTTGTTTTTCGAATTTTTCTAATGTATGAGTGCTATTAGGCGCTAAGTTTTTACAAGATACATAGATTATTCAATATATACAGATTATTATAATACATACATTTTTTTAAAGTTATTTTCTATGAATATAACTCACTGCTATAAATATTACAGAAATATATATGTATGTATATATATTGTGTCTGAACTAATTAAATCCAAGACGTTCCAAAAATTTACAGAGCAAATAAATGGATCGAATTAGTTAGGATTACAAGATATTATATTATTTATTGTGAAATTTTGCCGCCAAAACGCCGCTCTTACCAGGGTTGCCAGATGTTTGATATCCTACTGAATTGTTTCCGGTATTTCGAAAAATATCGAAATATTGGCCATTGCTCTGATATTTTTTATATTTGTTTTCGTCAATAAACAATTAAATGGTTATTATGAATACGATGCAATTTCAATTTGGCATGTCACGAAATGCACGGATTACTTAAGGAGAAATATTTTTTATGAATTTTGTTCATTGTTCCAGTATACTATATGGATTTTTTTGTTGCTCAATGATTGTTGATAATGTTACTGTGTAAGTGAAAAAGTACGTCACAATAAAGGGGCTATCCCTATAAGGGGCTATATAAAACATGTTACACGAATATCATGATTTTTGACCCCTTTTCCTATCTTCGTCATTGCTGGCCACAATACTGAGACTCCTCCCTCAATAGTTTAACGTCACAACTTAATTCAATTTAATCGAACCCATTACCATCGGAAGTAAGGCGGTGTGCTAAACCGCTAGACCACAGAGGCCGTCGCCGTGATATAGTAACAATAGATAAATATATAAATCTATTTTTGAATAACCTGAATTTCTTTAGGATTTACGCTATTACATAACATGTATTTAAGTTTATGAATAAATTTTGTTTTACAATTATATATTATATGTTTGTTATGTTGTATACATTTTTTTATTATTATTCTTTATGTTATATAATGTTTAAAAAATTTAAGACATGGCAACCCTGTTTCCACCCTCGTCAGTCTACACCACTGACGTTATCCCATTATTATTCCACTCTTGTGAAAATCAAATTAACAAACTCTGGGTTACTTACCGACTAAAATTCTACTATGAACGTCGAAACGCGTTATATTCGAATCGATTTTGATAATTCTTATAGTAATTTTTTATTTCTTTATCCGTAAAGATAGAATAAAAAATATTTTTTCAAATAAACTTTTTTTTATTTTTTTATTGAGGGGTTTGGGCTATTGTCAGGTGCTAAGATCGAGGAGTATGTTTTAAATACTTTCTTTAAGACATGCTCCTCGATCCGCCGCATAACATGCACATACTAAGTCAATCTTTTACATTAGAACCTGTTATTTCTCTTGTCTGACTCTTGTCTTGTCTATTTTTTTTTGTTGGGGGCTTTCAGCTACTGTTAGGAGCTAAGACCTGTAACACTGCGATCTGTATAGATCTGTTGTGCTCACCCTTATTCGAAGTTCGCTACCTAGACCCGTTAGGGACAAGAATTGAAGGATATTCTTAGTAGCGATGGTTTTTATCTCCTTAGGATAGAGTGTATACTTTCCAAAGGAGATATTTCGTTTATGCATGAGATGCGTAGTAGCGTTTCCTCTTTTGCTTGGCAAAAACCTGCAGATTCTTTGACTAACTCTAAACTTGCGGCGCTACGCGTATAGATAGAATAGAAATAATCTTTATTCAAATAAACTTAATATAAGCACTCTGTTTGTTCTCGGTTACTATTACCACTGATAACATAATATTACATACTATTAATTATTTAATATATAGATCATAATATTAAAAAATAAGTTCGTGAAGCAAAAACTTTGTACTCCTTTTTACGATTATTGCGCGGAACGAGGGGTATGAAATTTCGTATACTATTAGTTTATTGAGAGTGCAGAATTCTGATATTTTTTTAAAATATGTTTAAAAAATGTATTGCTTTAAAACATTCTATCACACACCTAATGTCAAAGCGAGTCGAGGTTTGTTTGTGTGCAGTTCAAAGTAATCTCACAACTCATCAACTCTTTGACACTAGAGCCTTCATAATATTCAACCTTATAATTAAAATTAAGTATGGTCGAATTTCAACCACTGGGCGACCACTATGTATGTTTATTTTTTTTAATATTACAGTTATTATTATTACTAAGTTAAAGTACATGGTCTATAGGTAACAAAACCCACAAAAATCCATCTAAAAGTTTATTGTGTACGAAACACAAATAACACAAATTCCGACCGCAAATTGTGCCCTATTTAAGGTTGCCAACTGTACGGATTTAATCAGGATGTCCCGCTTTCAGACCTCGTGTCCCGTGTGGCAAAGTCACTGTTGGGACATCAATTGTCCCTCTTTGAACGTACTTAATTTTTAACCGACTTCCGATCATAATAGGCTTAGTATATTTGAATTATTATTGATATTATAAACTAGAAAGTGTGAGGGTTACTTGTGGCTCAATATTACTACCCTAATTTAGCACGAAAGAATATCAGTTTACATCAAAAACTGTGCGTTTATTATTTAATTTATACTTACGACTGACTTTCCAGTAACAACGACAAAGTGACAACAACAAAAATCGACATGTTGGGTTCAAATAACTATATATACTGAGTGCAATGTAGGCATATCAAGTTGCGTTCACCGATATGTCGACAGTTGAAAACTTCTGACAATTCCATCTGCGAACAGTCATGGTTGAGTTATTTTATCAATATATTTTTACAAACTGTGCTTACGGTTTCACCCTCATGAAATTTATAGCCTATGTGTTATTCGGATTTATAACCTATTTTACTGTATGTTAATGTAAAGTTTCATTAAAATCCATTCAGTAGTTTTTAACAAACATCCATCTGGATGGATTGGTGTTTATATCCATTTGAATAAAGATTATTCCTATTTGCTCGGTATGTTTGAATCCAACGTGACCGGGAGCGAGCCGACGGAGTCATCTCGTGTTCTCGGAAGTTGCAGTTTGTCGAGAGTTAGACATACATATATATTGACGCATGTATTGTATTGTTGACTACGTTTTACCT